TAAAATATTCTGAAAATTACTTTGTTATAGAATAAATCCGATTTATCAAGGTCCGTTATAATGTAAATTGACATGAATAACCAGACTTAATGAAGCAGCAGCAACACCCAAGGATTTAAATAAATGCGTACAAGATAAAATTAAGCTGAAAACACTATATAATAGCAACGTTGAATAGCTACCCTAAATTGGCCTGGACGAAATTATTTGAAAGGTAAAGTAATAGTAAACATTCATGATCTTGAATAGTGTTATACAGTACTTACTCTTTAACAGTGTTATACTTACCCTTTTAACTCCAATTATTAAATACGTTCAGACTAAGGATGGCTCCGAAAGTGGGTACTTTCGGTACCTACCGAAATCGAAAGTCTACCGAAAGTACTTTCGAACAGGATCTGGTTTACCGAAATGTTCGAAACTCGAAAGTCCTACCGAAACTCGAAAGTCCTACCGAAACTCGAAAGTCCTACCGAAACTCGAAAGTCTTACCGAAACTCGAAAGTCTTACCGAAACTCGAAAGTCTTACTAAAACTCGAACCTTTTACCGAAAGTCGAAACTCTTACCAAAGTCAAAACTCATTTTTCGAACATATTATGTGATGCAAACTTCGACAAAGGCCAATCAGATCTTGATACAGATTTTTATCATAAAAAATCACGTGACTGCACCACTTAAAATATATCTAGTAATTAACCCACAAAATTTTTTCCGGCACGTGCCTCCGCCACAAACACATGCCCCTTTTTTGTAAAACCTTTTTAATGCTCTATTTCTCTTTTGTGTATCGATAATCTCTCATTCCCTTTACTCTTTTTTCGCGTCGTTATCAATATGAAACGCATTATTTTAATCTGTGACATAAGGAACTTTAAAATTTACAACCATAGATTTAACTGTATATCACTATTTGCATGTTTTTTTCTGAGGTGTTTTTTTCTTTCACGAGCAACACTAACAAAATGCATTATTTTTATTTATGAGTTTTAAATTTAACAAACCAAATAAAGAATTATTTAGAAAGAATTTTCGTGATCCTACCTGGTAAACTAAATGAAAAAATGAAAACTGCTTAAAGAAATTTGGATATTAATCCATGCAAGATAAAGGTAGCAGCAATCATATCTCAAATCTAGGATTAATTGAAAAGTATACCGAAAATGATTCAAAAATGGTACTTGTGGCATCATGCCTTATATCGATCCAGAGGTTTTATAAAGTCAAAAATTTACAAAAGCTGCAGATATTTATAACATTAAATCTTCATGTCAAAAATGTTGACTGGAACAAGACCTTTTGATGATTATAAATTTAATATTGGTCTTGCAACAGGGCTTTCATAGGTTCGGGACTCTTTCTTTGATGAGATATAATTTCAGGAAACTTATTTTATTTTATTTTGCTGGTTTTTTTTTCTTCAGCTAGCTACCTTTTTATTTATTTATTTTTTTTTTTTGATGGATTTTCTAGATCAGGATTTTTTTTAGTAATGTATAATTGTGGTGAGGTTTTTTTCTTCAGGAACTACCTTTTTTTTTTAGTCGAGCTTTTTAGGTTAGAGAAAGTTTCATTTTTTTTTCATTTTTTTTCTTCCTCAGCTACTTCTGCATTTTTTCTTCAGAAAAAGCTCGAAAAAAACTCTTGTGATCTTATATGGCTAACTAAATTAAAGCTAGAATATATTCTGACAATTTAGATGAAATTCATAACGCAGATGCATTCATGCAGACTTTCACAGTGGCAATATTTTGCAAGTTAAGTTTGCAGCAATTTTGCATCTCAAATCTAGGATTGTCTAAAAAATATAGCTAAAACGATTCAAAAGATTGTGTATTTTACGTCACTCCAGAGGTTTTTACAGTATTAGCCAAAGTTTGCAAAATTGCCAATATTTATAACTTAGGAATTTTCATGTCAAAAATGTCGACTGAAGAAAGACCTTTTGATGATTATAAAGGTCTTCATGAGGGCTTTCGTAGGTTCAGGACTCTTCCTTTGATGAGACAAATTTTGGAAAGTTATTTATTTTATTTTACAGTTTTTTTTTTCCTTCCTTCGACTAACTTTTTTTTGACAGATTTCCTAGGTCTGGGATTTTTTTTTAGTGAGTGATTGCGGTGAAGTTTTTTCTTCAGTAGCTATTTTTGTTTTTTTTCTTTAGTCAACTTTCTTAGGTCCAAAAAAGTTTCTTTTTTTCGCTTTTTTCTTCTTCAGTTGCTTAGCTTCCTTCTGCTTTTTCCTCATAGGTCGTAATTTTATCTGGTTAACTAATTAAACTATATTTCTAATTATTAGATGAAATTCATAATGCAGATACATTTATGCAGGCTTTCACAGTGGCAATATTTTGCAAAATAACAGCAATCTTGCATCTCGAACCTAGGATTGCAAAAAAAGTATAGCTAAAACGATTCTCACCAATATTTATAACTTTGGAGTTTTAATGTCAAAAATGTCGACTGGAAAAAGGCCTTTTGATGGTTATAAATTTAATATTGGTCTTCAAGAGGGCTTTCGTAGATTCAGGACTCTTCCTTGATGAGACATAATTTCGGGAAGTTTATTTTATTTTATTTTACTGTTTTTTTTTTCTCCTTTCTTCGATTAACTTTTTTTTTGATGGATTTCCTAGGTTCAGGATTTTTTTTTTAGTAAGGTGTGATTGTGGTAAAGTTTTTTCTTCGGTAGCTATTTTTTTTTTTCTTTAGTCAGCTTCCTTAGATCCAAAAGAGTTTCTTTTTTCGTTTTTTCTTCTTCAGTTGCCTAACCTCCTTCTGCTTTTTTCTCATAGGTCATGATTTTACCTGGCTAACAAGATTAAACTATATTTCTAATTATTTAGATGAAATTCATAATGCAGATACATTTATGCAGGCTTTCACAGTGGTAATATTTTGCAAAATAACAGCAATCTTGCATCTTGAACCTGGGATTGTCCAAAAAGTATAGCAAAACGATTCTCGCCAATATTTATAACTTGGGAGTTTTAATGTCAAAAATGTCAACTGGAAAAAGGCTTTTTGATGGTTATAAATTTAATATTGGTCTTCAAGAGGGCTTTCGTAGGTTCAGGACTCTTCCTTGATGAGACATAATTTCAGGAAGTTATTTTATTTATTTTACTGTTTTTTTTTTCTCCTTTCTTCGATTAACTTTTTTTTTGACAGATTTCCTAGGTCCGGAATTTTTTTTTTAGTGAGGCGTGATTGCGGTGAAGTTTTTTCTTCAGTAGCTATTTTTTTTTTTCTTTAGTCAGCTTTCTTAGATCCAAAAAAGTTTCTTTTTTCGTTTTTTTTCTTCTTCATTTGCTGACTTCCTTCTGCCTTTTTTTTCAGGTCTGATACTACCTGGCTAACTAAATTAAACTATATTTTGATTATTAGATGAAATTCATAATGCAGATACATTTATGCAGGCTTTCACAGTGGCAATATTTTGCAAAATAACAGCAATCTTGCATCTCGAACCTAGGATTGTCTAAAAAGTATAGCAAAACAATTCTTGCCAATATTTATAACTTTGGAGTTTTAATGTCAAAAATGTCAACTGGTAAAAGGCTTTTTGATGGTTATAAATTTAATATTGGTTTTCAAGAGGGCTTTCGTAGGTTCAGGACTCTTCTTTTGATGAGACATGATTTCGAGAAGTTTATTTTATTTTATTTTACCTTTTTTTTTCTTCTTCGACTAACTTTTTTTGAAGGTTCTGAATTTTTTTTTTAGTGAGGCGTGATTGTGGAGGTTCTTTTTTCGGTAGTTATTTTTTTTTTCTTTAGTCAGCATTCTTAGATCCAAAAATTTTCTATTTTTTCAATTTTTTTTTTTTCTCCTTCAACACCTAAATTTTTTTGCTATTTTTCTCACTAATTTTCAAGAAAAAAACTTAAAAAACTTAAAACAAACCTTTACGATCTTACTCGACTAACTAAATTAAAGCTATTTAAGGATATTTCTGACAATTTAGACAAAATTCTTAATGCAGAATACATTCATGCGGAGCAGAAATCTTGTATCTCGAATCTAGAATTGTTTAAAAAGTATAGCTAAACTGATTCAACTTACAATGCTCTAGAGGTTTTTATTAGGTCAAAAGTTTACAAAAACTGCCAATACAGTTAGATTACTATAATTACTCCTATATAGTTATGCCTCAATATAAGCACTAAATATTATATAACTAACTTAAATATAGCAAATAAAAATTTATAATTACAAGTCATTTATAATCTCTATTATTATATTATTTAATAAATTAAGAAATTTTATTAATAATTTGATTTTTTTATAAGAGCATTACTATTTGACGCCCGGGCAAATTTGCCTAGAACATATTTTGTATAATATTAATGTATAAATGCATTCACCAAGTAATAAAATACATATACATATGTATCGATATATTTACAAGTCAAATTGGTTTTTAGATAAAACTTGATCCAGGGCAAACTAATCAATTACAGCTGTTTGCAAAAAGACGTGAAATGGTGCAGATCACCGTATCAATAGAAATTCGCGAGATTTCCATGATTTCCTTTTTTTTAAAAATCTAACTTGTGATAGTGAAAGATTCTCACTAATTTCCTGGTAGATATAGTTTCTTTGGCTATATGAAGAGTACTAAATCAAGTTAAAAATATTATTTTTAATAATATTTATTTTGAAAATTTCCCAAATGATCTTAGATGTATAGCAAAAACCATAGTATTTCTTTGAACTATAGTATTTCTTTGATACGATAGTTATTTAAAAAGCAAAATTTCTTCATGTTGTAAAAGTTTTATTATTAGATAGCTCATACTGTAAGTATTAATTATAACGGATTTAATACTGTAATATTTTTATTAATTTATCATTTATGTATATTTTTGCTTTCTTATCTTTATTAAAAATCCATAAAAATACACATTGTACAAATAAATAATTCTTTTCGAGTATAAAACTCAACAACTATCGCTATCTTCTCATTATAATATTATATTATAACTATATATACACCACAACTCAACCCATATTACTGCGCACACATAACTCCAAGTCTTCAAGAGGTATACTAAGGTTAACATTTTTGTAGGTCAACGTCATTTGTTAAGATTTTTTTATAATATTTGTATATATTTTTGGGAGGATACTTTTTGTTCATTACAAAGTAATATCCGAAGCAAGTTCTTTGTTTATATTTTGTATTTAGCATAACAGCCCATTAAATGCAATAACAAAATAATAATAATAATGTTTATAAATTTTGTTTATAATAAACAGAAGTTTATTTTTATTATCTCTATGTCACTATTAGATTTCCTGATCCACATACATATATACATCATAAAAATTGCTGTTTCACATCTTTTTGCAAATAGCTGTAAAATACCTTGGCTGGTATCAACATAATTTCGGCCCGCACTAACCCTAAAGTTTTTCTGAAGGTTACTTTGACTCAACCGGAGTAAAATCGCCATCCAAAAATGTTTCGAATATCATGATATTGTCAATTCATCATGATTAGGATCATGATGATAATATTTATAAAATATTAATTGATTTATTAAGTGATTTTTTTCTTCGATTCTTCAAAATGAAAAGCGATCACAACAAACCAAGTGATT